TATTTGTTGTAATATAGTTCATAATATTTTCACACAGCTCTCTCCCACCTGCCTAGTGGGTGTGGCTTTCACACAGCTCTCTCCCACCTGCCTAGTGGGCGTGGCTTTCACACAGCTCTCTCCCACCTGCCTAGTGGGTGTGGCTTTCACACAGCTCTCTCCCACCTGCCCAGTGGGTGTGGCTTTCACACAGCTCTCTCCCACCTGTCTAGGGAATGTGGCGTTCATGCAGCTGTTCACCCGCCTGCCCAGTGGGCGTGGCTTTCACACAGCTCTTCAGCCTCCTGCCCAATGGGCCAGGCTCTCGTCCAGGATTCCACGCACCCAATGCCTCCCAGAGTTCTCTGTGCCATGACAGCCCCTCCCCCCTCCTTGTTGTTTCCCCCGCAGATAAACTTGCAGAGAAAGATGCGTCTGACGGGGATCATCACCCAGGGGGCCAGCCGCATGGGCATGGTGGAGTTCATTAAGTCATTCAAGGTGGCTTCCAGCTTGGATGGCGTGACGTACACCATGTACCAGTCTGAGAGCCAAGGGGGCGAGGAGGTGATTAAACGCAGCCTTTCGACTTGTTAATCTAGACATGGAGCCGTGAGTCATCTAAGCATGAGCTGTCCGGCAGGTCTTCATCGGAAACGTGGACAATGACAGCGTCAAGACCAACCTGCTGGACCCACCCCTGGTGGCACAGTACATGCGCATCATCCCTGTGGTGTGCCACAAGGCCTGCACGCTGCGCATGGAGCTGATGGGCTGCGAGCTCAACGGTAAAGACACTGGAGCCCCGATGACATCACTAATTCCGGACCTGTCAGCCACTCATGTTCCCTCATGCAGTCTTCATCTGTCATTAATTGTAATTGTAAAAAGCCCTAGTTAAAGAAGAGTACTGACCTGTGCACATCTGGTAGTTTTATTAACACTGACAGGTGGTTTAAATTCTTTTGGTTGGCCCAGATAACGACGTGAGGGTGTAAAAAATGGCTTTACTGCTCCAGTCTTACAGCTGCAGTGAGATGAAAGGGTCACAGGCCCAGATCTAGCTTCTTGTTTTGACTTGCAGAGCTTAGTTTCGCTGGTGACAGCTCTTGCACGTTCATTCATCGCTACTCACAATGCCCTGTGCCTGCCAGCCATGCCTGCCTGACACGTGGGTTTGTTTGCATGGCCCCTGCTTGCACGGCGGCTCCTATGTTGGTGATTTTGTTTGTTTGTTTGTTTGCTTGTGCCCACATGCCTGCCGCATCCCTATCATCCTTTCTTCACTGTCTTGTTCACAGTGTATTTAAACATGGCAGGTTGCTCTGAGCATTTGGGCATGAAGTCTCGCCTTATCTCGGACGGCCAGCTGTCGGCCTCCAGCGCCTTCCGCACCTGGGGAATCGACGCCTTCACGTGGCACCCCCACTACGCCCGGCTCGACAAGCAGGGCAAGACCAACGCCTGGTCCGCGGCCAGCAACAACCGCTCAGAGTGGCTGCAGGTGAGCTCGGTCCCGCTGGCCACGCCCCCATTCTGTGCACATGCCACGCCTACAGCCACATTAACCTGCCTTGCTGCAGGTGGACCTGGAGACACCGAAGCGACTGACTGGCATCATCACCCAGGGAGCCAAAGATTTCGGTGTGGTTCAGTTTGTTACGGCCTTCAAGGTGGGATACAGCAACGATGGGCACTCCTGGACTGTCTTTAAAGACCAGAAGACTGAGACAGATAAGGTCAGTACGGTTCATCCCTGAACTTGGCCTGCAGTCTGTTGTGCCTCACTTCCCATCATGCATCTGCGGGAACACACAGAGGCAGGTGATGTGCTCTGTATTCGTATGAAGTATCCTATGGGCTGAGAGCATATGAGCTTGCTGGTTTGGGTTTTGACTGCTGGCATGGGTTCTGTGCTATGAACCATGTGGTTAAATCTCATTTTGTGAACTAAAACTGAGCCCTTGAGTAAGACCAGTTTGTAAAAACCAATGTCAACATGTTTGTCTACATGTGGCTAATTGTTACTCCATCCTGTGAAGCCCCATCTGGCCTCAGCCTCACCAACTTTGTTTGTTTGGTCCAGATTTTCCAAGGCAACATTGACAACAACGTGCATAAGAAGAACGCATTTGATCCGCCCTTCTACGCCCAATTCGTGCGCATTCTTCCGTGGGAGTGGCACGAGCGCATCACGCTGCGAATGGAGCTGCTGGGATGTGACGACTAGCTACGCCCAGCCACTCAGGGCCTCCACCTTGTCTCCGCCCCATCCTTGCCCCGCCTTCTGAGTGCTGCCTCCCTGCCATGCCTGCACTTGCTGTCCTCAACCACAGGGGGCAGAGTCTCACCTGTCCCAGCTGCCTGTGAAGGTTTCATCAGCCGATCGCATCCTTTGAACTTCAACTTCCTCTTCAAATCATGGCAATAAATCCCAGGATCTCATTTTCAATGAGAAACATCTGATGAGTATTAATGATATACACAGTCCAAGCTGTTCAGGGCTGGACCATGATGTGATGCAGCCTTTGCTGAGACGTTTGTCATCGTGTCTCAGGGACTTCGTAATGCTGCTTGTTTTATTTGCTGTCTAGCTTGTATCGTGATGTAGTGAATCATTATTGTAGATATCAGAGGGTAGATGTTTTCTAATAAATTTATTTTAAAAAGGCTCATAGAGCCAGATGGTTCCACTCAGGCCCGGCCTCATCCACAGATATCTCCCGCTGGAGTTTATTCAGCCCTGGGTAGAGATGAAAGATGGTGGTCCTCCTCGCGCTTTCAACAAAGTCCATCGTCCTTTTTTCTCCAATGTAAACTTCCCGCTGGAACGGCTTCACAGAGCCTAGACCGAAAGTCGGCTGGGGGATATTCCGAGTTTCCGAGCAGACCCTCGCAAAGGTGTCCCTTACGGCTTTCTCAAAGACAAAGTGAAAAACACCAGATGGTGCAGGTTTTATACTCTTAAGAATTCTGATGTCACTCCACTGAAGGCTGTCACTGATGTAGGTTGTAGATCAGAGCAATGGGCTTTGTGACACCATTCAATGCATTCAGTGTAGCTCTGGTTAATTGCAGTGAATGACGGCTGTTGGTGTAAAGATGCCGAAGGTTGTCCTCTTGGGGGCGCTCTCTCCGCTCCACCTCTGCGTTTGCTTCACTGTCTGGCTGCCAGTTCCAACATGTCCACAATGCTCATGCTTCGAGCATGACGTCACCCCCACCGGCCTCCCGGCCTGTCATCCACAGCCCCCGAGGAAAGAGACGTGCCGGCCTCCGTGTTACCTTTGCCGCCCCCCCCCCCCCCCCCCCCCGCCGCTGCGCTTGTTGAAAAGTCGGTCAAAATTGATGATAGTTTACGGATTTTACCAGGAGAGAATCAAAGGTGTGACAAGAAAGGCTTGGATGGGGATGTGTTTTCAGGGTGTGACACACACAGTTAGAGAGATGAAAGGGACGACCCAGACTGTGCAGAAAGTCACGTGAATTTAATCGGAAATGCCTCCTCACACAATGCACTCACCCTGAAATGGGGGAATTCAGTGATCTGTATAACACACAGGCTGACTGTGATACGCTGTTACGTGACCCATTGTTCTGCTGTCTGAGATGCAAGAGAAATTTTCAATGTGTTTACTCTAAAACAGTAACATGTTTAGTTACTATAGTTAAATATAGCAGAAATCTTTTGATAAAATCACTAACCTGAGTCCTGTTGCTGGTGTTTAATATGATTCATACTTACATATTACTAAGAGTCAAGATGTATCGGTTGGGGGGAAGTAATAGATTTATTAGTGTAAATGCTTTGTTGTAGCTGTTATTAGACAGCTGGCATTGTCGCAGATTTGTTGAGGATTTTATTACCTGTTGATCTTCACTTGTGATTGTTCTTGAGTAACACTAATGTATATCTGGTGAAACGAGCCTCAGCTTGTGGCCAGCAGGTGGCGTACTTAGAGGTGAGTCTGCCAACTGCGGTGCCTTCAGGTGAAGTAATAACGGCGAAAGGCTTAAACGAGCATCAGCTGTATTTGTGCGGAAGCTGTACGGAACACAAACTGCTTTTGATGCAGGTGTCTGCTAGTCGAAATAAACGGACGATCTGAGGGGTGAGATTCAGAAATGTGTCAGTTTCTGTGTATTTCTTGCCTGCTTTTCCAGGTTTAAGTTACATAGACGTTGCCGTTACTCGCACATAGCCCACATAACGTGACCAGACCAGACTTTCGCCATGTTCCCAGCATGCCCTGCTGACACAGGTAGCGGGCCGGTGCCGTGTTTTGTGTGGAATTCTGGGTCTGGGACTTCCTCACGTGAGTTGGAATGGAGGGTGGGGGGGGGGGGGGGGGGGGGGGGGCACACATTCCAGCGAATCCCCTGGCAGGAAGCACACAGAAGGGAGACCCCTCTGCTACCACAGGGTCTCTTTCAGGGGGAAAAAAAAGAAGCTCATCGTGTTTTATGAACAGTAATTACACACTGCCTCGGTCCTGCTGCTGCCTCTCTCACCACAGGCAAACGAGGTGCATCTGTGACCCCAGTGAGTTACTGCCTAATCGCCCCTAATAACACTGGCTAGGGTTCGGTCCTTCAGCCTGAGGCTGGACCTCTGGTTTTCACCCAGTTGGTGTTGAAAGGCAGGCAGCTGAGGTCACCCTGCCACGCAGTAACCTTACCGGCATTAAAACTGAGCCCCAGCAGAATTTTTGTAACATTCCACTTAGAAAAGTCCTGCGTGTTTTTGCCACAAAAAAACACACACCCTCCAGCCACTGCAGTCCCACATCCTTGACTAACGCTCTGGCTTCCAGTTCGGTTTGAAACCTTTTAATTACATGACTGTTCCACCCTTTTTGGGAAGAATTCTTTACAAAGCCAATATGGGTCCCAGGGTGCCTTATGGGCATGACAAACGAGTGCCGTCACACTGTCCCACCACAGGGGGAACTTCTGTGTAGGTCAATACACACCCATATCCTTTTTTCCCCTGTGAAAATCTGCCTTGCGTCCAAATACTTGCACGACATGAAGTGTCCTCTCAGAGTGAATTTTATTGCGCAAATTACACCCTCCCACATCCCTGCTATCCACGCCGTGCAGGCATTTTGGGCCCCCGGCAAACACTTTCATCTGTGTCTTTTTTTCTGGAATAGGTGGACAGTGAACTTCAAACATACCTGTCAGTTGTGCCTACGAGGGAGGGGAACCTGGGCCCTGAAACGCCCCCTGCTGGCATTGCGCCACAGGGCCATCGGTAATATAATATTACATGCCAACACTCCAGATTTCCCCAGGTGTGAGGATCGGTCCCTGTCCTTTTCCCTTTCTGTATGTCAGTTCCCTGTTTGGCCAGCAGGTGATGCTGGCCATCCCATGGTCTCTAGCTCCTACTAGTGTATTCCCCATGTTCCCCACACCGCTGTGTAGCAAACTGGGCTACGTGGGTGGCTTATAATCAATCTCCTCTCTTGTCATGTGTTCAAACTATGTTTAGCATTTTACATCTGTGGTTCTTTATATATCTTGTGTTGGTGTATTTCTGTCGGTTCCTTATTTTTACTCCCTGTTGTTCCATGTTTGTAGTATTCTTTGGTGGCCCTTGTTATTCTGGACTCCCTGGTGTTTGACCCTTTGTCTGTTGATTGCCCTCACCTGTGGTTCAGTGTTCCTAGCTTACACTGTAAGCAGTAAGTGCCCCACACCTGTCTCCTGTTACTCTATCATGTGTATTTCAGTTCCTGCCTTTACTCTGTTCCCCCATTGATCATTGTGATTGTTCTTGCATTAGCTCCAGGTTGCTGTTTGCTTCTGTATCACTCTCTGCCTGACTACTGTATGTCTTCGTTCCAGTGTTTCCCAAAGCATGTCCAACATTAGCTTCCCTTCCTTATATTTTAGTTCTTCTTCTGTTTTTACCTGTTTTGGTTTGACCCCAGTCCTAACATTAACTATAAGTAACCAAACAAAATGCAAGACTTCTGGCATTTTTAGTTTTTTGATTGCAGCCACAGATTTTTTTTTTTTTATAAAATTGAGGTTATCCTTGAGGGGACCCTAAAAATGTCCCCACAAAGTGAAAAGTTACAGGTTTTTATCACATTGTGGGGAAATATGGTCCCCACAATGTAATAATTACACACACAGCCTAACGTTAGCAGGTATGGTAGTGCGGGACTGATCTGGGCTTTCGGGGCGCCGCATCCTGCTCTCGCCAAAGGCCACTCTGCAGCCTTTTCCTCGCTCCCCCCGGTGTTGACAAGCAGCCATTGACCGCGGTGGCCCCCGCGTTTGTGAATGACAATAGCTTCGCTAAAATTATACCTGTGAGGAACAGCGGCTGCACGCAGAGGAGGAGGCTGGGGTCAGAATGCGGGTCGTTCACTCCGAGTGGCTCCGGGTTCAAATGCGAGCGTCGCTGTTTCCTTTCGTGAGGCGGCCGCTAATCTCTCGAGCTGTGATAGGAAAACATATATCTGGAGAAACAGATAAACTCTGCTGTTCACACCTAAAAATAACATTTTAATGGTCCTGTGGTAATAGAGGAATTTTGTCCTGAAGTTTTGCAGCCTTAACATTGCATCGATTCAGCATTACAAAGGATTTCAAGCCATTTCCTCCAAGTACAAAATAGCACAGCGCTGTTTTTAACGACATTCAAACCACAGGGGTAACACTTGACGGGGCACAAATACTTAGCAATAATTCAGTTACTACTGAAGAACAAATCATGAACAAATATAGTCCTTACTTGAGATAAGATGCGTCACAATTCATTATAAAGACTAACAAACGTGAGATCAGTATTTAACTTGTGCTTTTTACTTGTTCCTTCAGTAGTTCACAAAGGTTTACAGAACTAACAGATACAATTACGAATATAGTAACTGCTTTAGATAAAACATGCGTCATGATTGAATTAACAGTAACATTTCCGTTTAATGTATTTTCAGTTTAATGACAGCGTTCACCCACCCACTTGAAATCTAGGCAATAAAACAGTGATGTCCAGGTGAAATCGTAAGTCAGTGCTACTATTTATTAACATGGCACTGGGGTTTCATAGTGATAGTGATATCTTGGAGGAAAGACGCTGCGTCTTTAATAGGCGTTAACTCGCAGTTTGGGGGAGGTGGCGGAGGGAAGGGGGCTGATCCGGCGTATGACGTCATAATACACTATTTTCACTCAAAGGTCAATTAAAAGCAACGCGGTGACTGTGGTTTACAAGACGATCTTTTCAGACACAGCTGGAGGAGCGAATCACACCCGAGGTTCCAGCTCGCACATCTGTGAGTAGCTCACAGCATATCACTCTTACAAATGCAATGCCGATGCAATGCAATGCCGATGCATTCAATGGTCAAAGAAAACATACAACAGTTTGTTGTCATATATTTGATGTATTATCAATTATGTAAAGTGTCGTTGATGTCCGGAAACTGACTGCGATGACGTTTTCAGCATATATAATAAAACTGTAAATAAATACTGTAGTTCACTTCTGCAGGTATAACCTATATAACATTACTTTCAAAACAACGTGTTAATGAATTTCTTTTTCGTAATTTTTACACAACTATAATTTCAGGTTTAGGAAACGTTAAATGGCATCAAATGTCATACTCGATTGACTTAATTGTTCTGTCTAAGACTATGGCGAGGTTGATGTTAGATATATTGCAATTTACTGGTGATTTTTCTGTTGAGCAAAAGCAAAGTAAATCATACCTGTCTAATGGTACCTCGATAGAGTACATTTGGTGTTGCAGCTGACAGAATTTCTTATTATATCAATTTGAACTACCTCTTCCATGCGAGCTTTGCAGATGAATGACAAGTTGATCTTTAAGGCCAGTAGCAATTATCGGCATTAACTGGCAGGTATCGTGTGTTTATCTCAGTTGTAACATTAGTCACGTAATCACAGGTTAATACGTATTTAATAAATTACGTAGTCTATTCATAAAAGATCCATCTGCTAGAAGTCCTTCTAGGGTTATATAAAGGTGAGTTTGCTGTAAGTCCGAAGCGCTGCTTCTTTTTTTAGCTAAAATATTTAAACATTAGGCCTGTTATTCAGTGCTGCCAAAGTGCACCGCAGCGGAGCTCAAACACAGAGCCCTGGACAGTTAGCCATCAGACGCTGTACGGTGCTCTTTCAGACTGCCCTCCTTTGTAAACACAATCTCTGATTTAGTGAAATCTGCCAGCTCTTTTCTTTCATGCCCCAGCAAATTCCGCAATAATTGGGGGATTGATTCATTCTTAATTTCACACAACAAAAGTGCTTTAAAATATTTTATTAAAATATCGATTAATCCATATTTTTAATCTCTTCAACTCAAAACACCACTGCTCTAAAATAATCAACCAAAAGTTGTACTTGCCGTCAAAAGTACTAATGAGTACAAGCCAAAGGCATAACTTTGGGTTGAGCATTGGGAGGGGGGTTGAGCTCTCCACCCATTTAAGGGGTAGTATTTGCTGGTTTTGATTATTGGGGGGGGGGTTAACCCCCCATTCCCCTCATAATTTACGTCCATGCCTCAAACTGTTATACGTGAGTGTAATGAATATATTTGAAAAGTTTGAAATCACTAGCAGTGAGTTGCACCAGCTATGTGTAAGTAAGGTTGGGTGTTAAGTGTAACTTAAATCATACGTTGAAACCATTTGCGTGGTGCAACCGATTATTTTTAGTAGCTCGTAAACTCGAATGCAGGGACAGTTTATGTTGGAGATTTTCTCAGGCACGGTGATTTGTGGGCTACATCTTTCAACAACGACACGCTGCTGCCCCCTGCTGGTGACACCCCGCCTTTCCAGACGAAGTTGTCTCCTGATGGATATGATGCGAATTGTTAATCGCAGCATTTGTTACTGCTATAGGTCGGACCTCAGAAGAGTCATACAACGTCGGAAGCAGATCATGAGCGGCCTTTTGCTGGCTGTCCTGTGGCAGCTGCTATACCTGTGCCAGGCTGCCCCAGGCTACTCCAACGGCTTCTTCTACCATGACATCACGAACGGCAACGGAAATGGAGAGAGTATGTAGACTAAGCTCTGCGCTTAAACACGCAGCTGTTTTAATGTAATGCAATACAGCAGCCCTGAACCTCCCGTTCCCTGTGTAAGACCCCAGGGAAAAGGGTTTCGACAACTAATAATACAGGCTGCAGAGGTTCAGAATAATTAAAAATGTCATTATTGAAATGTTATCCGCCAACATGGAAACTCTAGACTCCGTTGGATAACAATTTATTTAATATTCTCTGCAGGCTTCCACTGTCATCCAGGCTGTTCAATGAAATCATATAATTTTCCAGTTTGCCCATGAATGAAATGTATATTTGAAATCCCCCCCTCCATGCATGTCTGCATTATTACTGTGAGTAAGGCATGCCGAGTCACATCACTGATACCGTTTTATGTCTGCACTGTACTGACAGTTCACTTCAATGGCGTGAAACTCATCGTGGAGACCACCGAGTCGTCCATCTTTGCCGCACAGGGTGGCAACGTGACGCTGCCGTGCCGGTACCACTACCAGCCTGAGCTGCAGAGCCCCCGCCGCACGCGGGTGAAATGGTCCTGGGTGCCCGCGCTGGGGGGCAGGGAGCTTGACGTGCTGGCGGCCATCGGCCATCGCCATCGCACCTTCGGCGCCTTCCAGGGACGCGTGCGCCTGCTGCAGGACCCCCCCGGAGAGGCGTCCCTGGTGATGGGCGAGCTGCGGACCAGCGACGCCGGGCGCTACCGCTGCGAGGTCATCGACGGCCTGGAAGACGAGAGCGCTGTCGTGGATCTGGAGCTGCGCGGTATGGACGTTCGCTATAACCGACTCTCTGGAGCAGCAAATCGGTGGCTAGGGTGATCTATTGTCTAAACCCCGAGATGGCAGGGTTAACTCTCAGGAAAGGCTAGTCTGCTGTTACTCTGAGAAACATACTTAGCCTGAATTTCCCCAGTAAAATATGCACCTGCTTAGATGCGTAAAATGATGTGGACAGGGGCGCTGTAAAGTGGGGACAGAGCAACAGGGGCCCTAAAAAATTTGGAGCATAATATGATTGATCTGGGTCCAGAATCTCTAACGACACCCCTGCATGTAAATAACAACAAATATATCTCAGATTAGGAAACCTAGTTATTAAAACAATGTGTGCTAAAGTAAGTTACCCATTAAAGAGAAATATACCTGCACTTATCTTCTAACTATGCAGCTAGAAAATGGTGGTGATTAAAATATCATTTTACCCTATTGGTAGGTGTTGTATTTCCCTACCAGCCCTCCAGGGGGCGCTACCGGATGAACTTTTCATCAGCTCAGAAGGCATGTGAGGAACAGGGTGCGATGCTGGCCACCTTCGACCAGCTCTTCAGTGCCTGGGAGGAGGGGCTGGACTGGTGCAATGCTGGCTGGTTGGCTGACGGCACGGTGCAGTACCCAATCACGGCGTCCCGCACACCATGCGGGGGCCAGGACTTGGCCCCTGGTGTGCGCAGCTATGGAGCCCGTCACCGGCGCCTGCACCTGTATGATGCATTCTGCTTCTCCCCTTCCCTGCACGGTTAGGCTCCTGCCTGCTGTCTGATTTTTGTGGAGCCATGGGAGTGGGTGGGGGAGCAGGGGTTGTAATAGGATGGCTGTATCTTTAAAAACATTAAAACAACAGAAATATTCAGCCCACAATTTGACATATATGTGTTTTATGCTAACTTGGTGGACTGTTTCCTTCCCAATGAGCTGACATGCTTGGTGTGTGTGCTGCGCCCCCTACAGGTGAGGTGTATTTCCTGCAGCACCCTCAGAAGCTGAACTTCACGGAGGCTGTGCAGGCGTGCGAGGAGGACGGCTCTGAGATCGCCAGGGTTGGTCAGCTGTATGTGGCCTGGCGCTTCCTGGGCTTGGACCACTGTGACGCGGGCTGGCTGGCGGACGGCAGCCTCCGCTACCCGGTCTCCACCCCGCGCCCCAACTGCGGCCTCCAGAGGCCCGGGGTGCGCAGCTTGGGCTTCCCCACCCAGCATCAAAAGTACGGCGTGTACTGCTTCCGAGCCCCTTAAATGCCCCTGCTCGCCTCATCCCACCACACCAGTGGGGCCTCCAGGACCTCATCACAGTCCCTCTACAGCTGTGACATCACCCTGAACCTTTCTCTACTTTTGCTGAGTTGCACTGTGGACTATCCCCTAACCGCTGGTGCCCCTGGTGGTCGCCTGGGTGCACTGCATGTTGTGTCGCCACTCACAGAGCGCCATCCTACTGATGTCATTCCCAGTGGAAACTTTGGAGATGGAGATGAATAGAACCAGAGGGCATCTGCTTCGAGGGATTGTAGCTGAAATCTCCTACACAGAATAGTCCTGAATGTTTGAAAATGTTCTACCTATATTTCACCTCACAAGTCTTTTTTTGCTGTTCTGGACGAGTGAAATACAACATTATTAGCCTTAAAATGTCCTTTGTTTTACTACCAATAAGCCCCTGATAGACTATATTAATTTCTGTTTGCTATACGTTTCCAATCCGTTATTACCTGATTATTTAGAAAGAGAACCTGATTTCTCTTCAGAATTATAATCTGTGAAGTATCTTTTAAATACTATGCTTTTTAAAAAGTGAAATGTTCTATACTTATATCTGTATAACAAAATGCTCAGCCACCGTTGCTGATTAACAGGAAATTGATTTATTGCCTTATATTCTATGCCTCCTTTGGGTGAAGTAGGGAGTTTTATTAGACAATGGCATTGTCTTTTTTACACTTCAAAATATTATATTTTTATTACTATACACTGTGAACCTGTACTGGCTAAACAGTACAGAATATGGGTGGATGAATGATTACAGCATATAACTGGACACTGTGTCTGTGATTGTATCTCAATAATTATTTCTGGAAAAGTCTATTACCTAGCTTTTAATAGTAGAATCCATCTTTATACCAAAATGTATTGCAGTAATATAATAGACATTAAATATGCAATATTCAGGTTTTAATTAGGTTAATAAGTACTTGTAATAAAAGCATAGAGATTTGATAAATACAGAGAAAACAAAGCTGAATACCATTTACAAGAAGATACTTGTGTATTTTTCATTCATCTGTCTTCTGACTGTTTTCTGGTCAGGTCTGGGGGGGGGGAGCTTACAGACTGTTCCAGGCAGCACAGGGGTGCACTCTGGACAGGATGCCAGTTACATATATTTTTATGAAGTTAAAATAAATTTTAAGAACCACTGGTCTTTGCAGTTGTGTGAGGTTGGGAGTTTTACTCTATGTGCACTTCTGGAATCCGCCAGCTGAGGGCAGTGTAGGCCCTCAGTAGAGGCAGCGTGGCGAGGAGGCGCTCCAGGCTAACGGGGTGAAACGGCCGGAACATACAGACGGTCAGTATGCGAACCTTAAGAAGGGCTCCATTCAGCCTGGGGGGAAGTTAGCGACTGCGGCCCACCTCCCTCGCAGAGCAAATAAAACCTGTGTAAGGTTATTCTTATAACTAGGAGACACGTTCTATTTATGCTGACCCACCTCACAAACACTGCTGAAATTCAGCTTATGGTGAAAAAGACACTTTTATTCCATACCCTGCCCATTTCAGCTGAAATTAATGAAAGTGTCTACTGTGGCAAACTTATACGGTGTGAATGTTTATTTCATATAAATGGTTTGAGCAGGAGAGGGGATGTCGAACAGGCAGAATGCGACTTGAGCCTGCAGGTTTGTCACTTGACTGATTTTTTACCCTCAGTGATGCTTACAAACCGCTGCTCTTCACAGTCGCCGCACAATAATGGCACAACGGCTGCTTCGGCGGTCTAGAACCTGCCGGACTGACGTCCACGTGCCCTCTGTCACACCGGGGCAAGGCGGAGGGTCTCAGCGTCACATGTCATATTCTGTGTCTTGGTTGTGAAACATACAACAAAATAAGTGAAGATTATGTGATAAATGTGTTTGCATTGCTTTGTGTACAGAGGATGCTTGTAGTAATGGACTCTCCATCGATGCCCACATCAAAGGCCACCACACACACACACGCGCACACGCACACACACACGGCCATCCAATTCATTTCTATTGAAAAATCCTTAATCCCAACTATGACACCCTTAACCTCTACCCAGCACTAACCTTAACTTTAGGTAACCAAACAAAACTTTGTTTGTTGATTGCAGTCACAGATTTTTATAAAATTGAGTTTCACCTTGTGGGGGCTGAAAAAGTGGTCCCACAATGTAAAAATAACTAATTTGGTCCCTACAATGTAATATACACATGACCCACACACACACACACACACACACACACAGAGTTCAGTGTTTAGGCTCCACACAGCAAGGCGAAATTCTGGCTGGCGTCAAATACAGAAAATTTTATTTGGCATCATTTGCGATGTCTGAGCAAATTGTCACACAGATATTCAAGCACAAACAGGTCGGCTCTTGCTGCCCCTGGGGACACCCCTGTATGCGGTGGGGTGCTGGCCGACAGCAGCTGTGCACCACAAGCGTCACGAGGCAGCAGAAAAGCCGCGACCGTTACAGCAACCCCTGGCAACATGGGGGTCCAGTCACATCTGACTCTAGCCACGCCCCCCCGGGATCTGACATGAAGGCAATGCCATAGCCACCTACGGCAAGATTATGCCTGGAAAATGAACGCACCATTACAGCCTTCGGCAGGAGTGCTCTTGGTCACCCCGTTGTCTATGCAATGTACTGCAGGTGGGTGGCGGCCATCTTGGATGACAGCCACACGTAATAAAATCCTTGGACAGGCTATGGGACAGAGCGAAAAGCAAGGAAAGTACAGGATCTGTACTCGCTGAACCGGTATATACAGTGTCAAAGAGTATTAGGTGTCCGGGGGCGGGCCTGCCACCCACCAACTGCTATAAACAAGTGCGTTTCCACAGACGCGAAAGTATGGCTGGGAAATTGCTTTTCTAAGTAGGCTAGCTACCGCTGTCAGATACCTCGGCGTGGCTGGGGGCGCTGGGAATGTACACTGAAAATGTGAAGCCGGTACCCCCCCCCATGCTTTAGAACGGCCTCAGAAAGTGTCTGATGGCCTCGGGAACCGAAATGAAAGCTGCAGCTGGCTGGGTGGCATAGGTTAGTTGCTGTAACGGGATTCCGGCTTGTTTGATTCCCCATGAGAAATGCTGTGCACTGCACGAGCCCCCCCCCCCCCCCCCCAAGAGTCGGTAAGTAAAAACGGGGGGTCTAACAAATAACAATGGGAAGGGAAGCATCCCACTCCGAAAAACATGGAAATAAAGACAAAGAACATGTTAATGGTCTACCTTTGGGTGAGAGACGGGCAGTGGGGCATGCCAGGTCGGCAGAGTGCAGGGCGCCATCGGCCCTTGTGCCAATCACACCCTGGCACTGGGACTAATTAATAAATAATTCAGTGTTCACATTTCCAGACCTACCTGCCCCCAGAAAGCCTGAGGACTGAGGAGAGTGGATCCCTGAAGGCTGAGATTAATCGGCTGTGTCCCTTCCATGCCCTTTATCACTGTCAGACAGGACTTACAAGTTGTTCCAGTGAAGGCTAACATAAAACAAGCTTGTAGAAGGTGCTGAATCTACTGCCCCATTTCCCTCCCCACCCCGGTTCCCAAAAACATTGTTCTGTTGCCAAGCCTTAATTTAGTACATATAATATTATAATTCCTAAAATTTCTCCCTTCCTGTTCCCAGGTTGAGCCAGCAGGTGTTCGACACACACCTTCAGATTCCCAGATTCTCTTGTCCTCCTTCTCCCTGCTCTTCCGCGTGGACTGGGAAGTCTGGTCTCCTGTTGGTGGTGATCCACTACCAAGCGCCAGCTAGTCTGGTAACCACAGACGGTACGGGCCGAGGGAGGCGGCTGTTACGTGAACGTCAACATGAAAGGCTTCGTTCCGAAAAAATGGCGTTCCGGAATAGCGTTGGCGAGAGGCACTCGGCGGTTACGAGATCCAGGACACACCCGTCCTACGATTTTCCAAAGCTCTGTGGTCAATCTACTACACTCAGAATAAAATCCAAATAACGAAAGAAGGAGTTACAGGTGTTTTTGTGTGTCAGGTGTAAGAAGAAGAAAACCAAATTAAAATCATCACTTTTTTATCCGCAAAGAATGACAATCAGAAACCCAAATGGACTACACAATTATGTCTAACTTGTTTCGGTGTTTGTATATACAAGGTGGGCACTCTTATGTTATAATCTCTTTGTTTTCAGAAAATGACTCTTATATAATTGTTCTTTTTAAACTGATCTTTTTAAACCTCTCTCCTCCCCTGCTTAGCGGAGTTTTCCCCAGGATGTGCTGCTGGCTGATTCTGATTGGGTCCTGACGGACCTTTTCCGTAGACTTTGCCCACTGCTGCTGCCCGTCGCTGCAAGGAGAGACAAATAGATTAATTTCCCATCAGCCTCTGCGCCCAGCGAACCCAAATCAACATCCTATTGGTCGCTGTTAAAGACAGGCATGTTAAATTAGGGCTGTACCTAAGCTCTACAGGGTGCTGGATCTTCGGGAGAAGTGATTGTAACCGTGCACCCATGTTTGTCCTTACCTACGTAAGTGCTTGTTGCAGGAGTGGGCGGAGTTTCACGACTGTTGTGAATGGAAGGTGGCGCATACTCACGCCCTATGCACTCCACCCGCGGCTTCTCCCACTGCCCGTCCTCCAGGCAGCGAACCACAGGCAGGTGGCGCTGTACGAAGCCGGCTTCACACTGGTAACGGATCACCGAGTAGACCTCGTAGCGGTCCCTCTTCTTCCCGAATGTTCTGGCATTTTTCACCTCAGGAGGGGTGCCGCAAAAGGCTGGGGGGGATCGGAGGACCACAGAGCGGTGTGAGTGAGGCTTGAGGCGGCGTGGCGGCGGCTCAGTGCGATGCGGCGGCCTCTCACCGGGACCTCTCTTGCACGTGAATGGTAGGTGGTAGTTGCACGGCACGTCGTTCCACTGGCCGTTTTCATGCCAGATCATTACCACGCAGTCCTCACCCGAGTTAAAGTAATTGTCCGGCTGGTTTGACTTCCAATTCTCATATTGCTGAAGAGGAATGAAACCAAAACAATTGAGCAATACACTAACTAAACAATGTCTGAGAAGTGGGAAAAGGACATCCTGGCTTTGCACTTGAGCAACCTCAGATGAACTGTACCGTTTACTTGCAAGTCACAACTTCCACCAGCTGGGGGCGACAGAGAGACCATAGACATAACTGTTTGAGACCAGGCTGCTGCTGACTCATGGAAAAAGAGGGAAGGGAAACCAGCACAAACTGAAATTAAATTAAATCTAAACACTTAATGGTTTTCTTGGGGAGGGGGATACAGTGAGAACACATATGACGTAAGAGTTGGTGAGACTGCCTCACTTCCTTGGGCTCTGCCAAGTTGAGTGGCACAGAGCTTTGTGAAAGAAACCCCTCCCTCCAGCATGAACGAGGTGTCGGGGGCAGGAGGAGACACTCACCATCGGGCTGCCGTCTGTCCAGCGGAAGTCGTTCTCTACGGCCTTGTCACTGAGTCCAATCCACTGATAATCCTGTGTGTTGGCTTTGGGGGCAAATAGAGGTTTGGGGGTGAATCGAGAGCACCGAGGTGGACTGGGTCACTGCAGAGAAATTCTCTCTACTTACAGTTGACAAAGTCCTGCTCCTCTGGAGTGAGGATGCTGACCAGGTGCGAATTGAGGCCCTGGCAGCGGGTCTCTGCGTCCTGCCAAGGCGTACGTTCAAGGAAGTACAGGTAACAGCTGCCCTGGAACTTCACCCAGCCCTCCTCGCAGCTGTGGACGTCTGCAGTGACAGCAAGGGGGCGACAGTGAGACCACGTGCAAGCCGAACGGAGAGCGGGCCGGCCTTCGTTAGACGCTGCCACGAAGAGTCTTGGTCAGTCCAGATGCCAGTGACCCCCACCCCGACCCCCTCCCCCTCCAGTAGTCCCTTTTACCTAAAACAACACAGAAAGATTGTCCACAGCTGTCCATGTGACACACAGAGCAGCTCCAATAGGGCAGTAATGTATTCAAGAAGAAATGTATAAATTATCTAATAAAACTGTCATCAACCAGTCTGGTATTTAATGATTTTGCAAGATTTATTTTATACTTTTAAGTCACAAAGATGCAAGATATAGGAGCAACAAGGGGGCGGTGTGTGGCTCAGGGGGCAATGCCTCTCTGCCAGTGATCCAAAGGTTGCCAGTTCAACCCATCAGCAGACCCTTAACCTCCAGCTGCCTGGGTGCTGCTGTGGGTGGCTGCCCTTCACTGCCAGCCTGCTCTCGTCTACAGAGAATTTCCCCAAAGGGATCAATAAAGCATCAATTATTATGCAGCGCAAAATATCAGTCTGCACCAAGCTATAGAACCAGGATTTAACTTTCTTATGTCCAGTAATCATAATAATTGCTCTTTTATTGATCTGGATTCCTTTATGCTTTTAATATGTCGGTTTTTATGTGACCTCTCGTTGAACTTAAGTTCTGGGACAACAAAACAAGAAGAAAATGGATTGGTGTCCTGAGATCTGTTTTGCTCCTAGGAAATAAACACCAGCCCATATACCTCCACGAAGCCCGCCACTAAACATTCATGTTTTTGGGGAAAAAAAAGAAAAAAAAAACACAATGGGTGGATTGACTTTTACGTCGCCAGTAATTTTCCAGTAGAAAGTATTCTCATTCTAGAAGTAATGACTAACAATTTACAAAGCAACAACAAACACCTGACGTACACCAGGAAGAAGAGGCCATTACATCAGACCACCTGAAAAGATAGAACAAAATGCCGGCAGAGGAGCACTATAGTGCGAAAGGAAAATTTCGCCCAGAGGAGCCCAAACACCAGCGCAGAGCGCACCGCCACACCCGGCGACCCAACCAAACCACTCCAGAGAGTCGTTTGTTTGAGAGTTGGTACCGGTTCTGTTGTTTTTGTGGGGCGGTTAGTGCGATTAGCTGAAGCCGACCTCATACCGATCTTGCAGTGGTCCCCTCCGTAGCTGGGTAGGCATAAGCATTTGTAAGAGTCCACGCCATCGACACAGGTGGCTCCGTTGGCACAGGGGTTCGAATGGCACTCATCCACCTCTGTAAAATAGGTGTGCTGTTACCTCTACCACCCCCAAGGGGGGGCGGAGCTTGTGCTAGCAGGGAAGGGGGGCGGGGCATTGGATAGCATTGATGTTAGAATCAGAACTTTTAAGGTACTGTAACGTTGCTGTCCACATCGTCGCTGACCGACATACTGCGTCCTTCGTTTGCTTTCATACGATGCTGGAGGCAGATTAACGTGTAACATAGACACTGGTGCCGCATGTCATTTACGCGGGATGTTTGGAGCTCCGCTTCTCGCCCCAGACCCATTCCAGGCACGATGTCTCCTAATGAGTCGCAGCATCGTGCGCGACGTGTGGACAAGCAACGCGTTTAGCAGCGGTGAGTTCTGCAGGTTTCTGGTTAGAGATTTAGGCAGCCGCAGGAGGGTTACCGAGCAAGCAGGAAGGTTAGGGAGGAGGAGCAGGGCTGTGCCTACAGGCTGAGGGACACCGCCGGGCAAAAACAACAGGCGGAAGGTCATCGCAAGGCCTGTCTCAAAGGGAGTCAGCTGACTGAGAGTAAGGTATCCATGGAGACGAGCCAGATATCCTGAAACACGCGGAGAAACACAAAGATGATGCCCAGAAACAGGAACAAATCAGCAAACGATGGAAAAGAGGTACAAAGAAGAAACAATCAAAGATGTAAATTCATGTTAACCATGCTTAGAGTTCCTGTATTACTGTGTGCTGTATGGAGCACAGTACCACACCAAATATACTGACACAGGAATGGATATTGCTTCCCTGAAATGGCTTGAATGATATGAATAAAATCTAATTTTAAATTCAAAGTCTTAAGACACCTGTATGATAATGTTTGAAAAGCAAATATGAACTAAGCAGCAAAATAAACTTGACATCAAAACTGAATCGCTAAAAGATGCAGTGCAATGATCAGTAATCGTAATTGCAGGATTGTACATCATTTACAGAATAAATCATCACGTATAAAATTCACAGCATTAGCTTCAGTCTTCTGCCTTCCTCATTACAGTGTATGCAGACTGTCTGTAATATTATTCTATAACACAGAAAGTGTTCTCTGTATATGGTTGAATTTCCCTGCATAGTGATTCGTATCAAATTATCATGACTTACCCAGCTGGCAGGCATCTCCAGTGACACCCGGAGGGCACTGGCAGTGGGCAATGTCACCTCGTACCGAACACGAACCAGGCCCACATGGGTTTGGGTCACACGGGTCGATGAAAGCTGAGGAATTCAAGGTGGGATCTTATCAACACCAGCTTACAGTGGCAGTGTCAGACTGGACATGCTAATCTTTAAGAAATACTGATAAAATTCAGGATAATAGGCGCTGTCATAAGAATAAGGAGACCAAGATCAAGGGTTTTAAAATACAAAAGGTTTTAGTAACTAACCATCTGCAAATGCAGGCTCCTGCATTACTTCTGGGATTGGTAGAGAGACGGTTGGTGACGTGGGAGCAGCACTGGGAACCAGAGCAGTGGCGTAGTATTTGCTAATAAATTCCACCAACTCTGAACGAGATTCCTGTGGATTTTCATCCATAAATGTGCTTTTGAGTTCCTGCTCCCCAGGCTCAGAGAAATGGATCAGCGATGCGTGATCATGGGGAGTTGCTCCTGAGAAGGCTCCCGATGTGACTTCGCTTGTAGAACCAACCTGGTCTCCGCTCCCAGATATAAACACAGATCCACTACCTGCGCCACTGATCTCCACCGGCCCCTTGCCGAGCTCCTGGCTAATCTTGGGGATTATGGAAATCTCAACCATCTCCTCCTCTGTAAGAAGAACAACATCCCCATTCGCAGATGCACCTGAGATCTCTCCTGATGGTAGGCCGGAAGCACTGGGCGCATCTGGAAGACCAGAAGCCCCACTCATTTCAGGGAGACCTGAAATCTCACTTACATCAGGAAGACCAGAAGCCCCACTGATTTCTGGGAGACCTGAAATCTCACTCACATCAGGAAGACCAGAAGCCCCACTCATTTCTGGGAGACCTGAAATCTCACTCACATCAGGAAGACCAGAAGCCCCACTCATTTCTGGGAGACCTGAAATCCCACTCATTTCTGGAATGCCAGAAGCCCCAGAAGAATAATCGTAAACATCCTCAGAATGAAATCCACTCATGTCGGCAGAATTCCAAAAGTCCAAAATTCCAGAAGCTTCTTGTCCTTCTACTGGTTTCTTTATCACTTGAATGATGTCAGAGTCCAAAAAGGTCACTTCAGGGAATTCAAAGCCACTTCCAGATGCCGAGCCACTGAGTCCAGATCCAAGGCCAGTGACATCCCCACTGAAGAAGCCGCTCAATCCGAATCCTGACATATCTCCCGAACCACTGAATTCCACCTGCCCTCTACCCTCTTCTGTAGAGGTCCGGGATTTGGATATATCTGCCATACTGCCATCTAGCAGAATAATTATGGAATCCCCACTACCATCAAGGTCTCCAGAGAAACCACTAATGTCCCCAGATTGTAAAAATCCAGATGGTATCCCACTGTATCCAGAGAAGTCCCCACTTGCACCTGACCCAGATGCCACATCAGAGAAGTCTCCACTCTCTCCTGAACCACTAAATATTGCAGTGCTGCCATCTTCAGGAATGAATCCTGAAGCACTGCCTGATTCTGACCGGTCCCCGCTGAATCCTGGAGGAAATCCACTGAAGTCTCCTGGTCCCATCCCAGATGGGAATGTGAGGATCCCAGTACTTCCTTCTCCAGCCTCCTGGAGCTTCCCAGATGCAGATCCCTCTCCGGACAACATCTCGCCGCTTCCCTGGAGAGTAACCCGAACGTCAAACCCATCTCCACTGAGGCCAGATCCAGAAACGTCTTCACCCAGACCTGATATAGTGCCAGACAACATGCCACTGCCACTGGTGCCAGAAGGCAGGTCCGTAGAACCGAAGCCAGAGATATCAACAGAGATAGGAGGAGCTATTGAGGGGCTCACTGTGAAGGGAAAATCAAAAGGGACGAGGCAAAAATAATTACATCACAGCATTACAAAACAAAACTATTACCAACAACATCTACGGCGAAATTAAAAATTTCAAGTTCTAGAATACTTAAGGGTAGAACCAAAGAAACATGACAGTGCTACCCTTGAGTGACAGTGACAGACAAAGTTTATTACCGGGCTTTCGGAGATCAGTTATGGATGTAATATTGATCAGATCCTCTTCAATCCCCGTAATGTTCCATTTGGTTTCATTAAGTGCCATTAGATCAACTAAGGGGGGCAGAAATACAGTTATTCATTCCCTGGGTTTCAGAAAAAAAGAGCAAACAGAACTGCAGTGACATGAATTTCACTTCCATGTTACATTTACCCCGTAAGCAGTAGGCATCATATTTGGAGTACAGGTCTGGGTAGCTTGTCTGACTGGGGAAGCTATAGACAGTGTGGACCCCCGCTTTCCCTCCCCCACACTGAAGCGTCGGCTTGGTGATGGGGTAACGGACGCTGCGGTCACTCAGCCAGCCTGGGCGACACTTGTCAAAGCCTTGCTGCCAGGCAGCGTGCAGATCAGCCGTGGAGGCCAGAGCGGCTTCCAGCTCCAGGCAGTGGCTCACCGCCTCATCGTAGGTAAAGCCCTCGCTCGAACTGACATGGAACACCTCTCCTGAAAAAGCACAGATGTATATCGAGGCCCCGAACTACACAGAGACAGGCCAAGTCCGTGTTTTTGCTGCGACTCTCACCTTTGGGGCTGTCAGTGTAGCAGTACACATCGTACCGCTCACCAGCGGGCCGCAGGCCGTAGCTTCTGACGCCAGGCACCTGATTCAAGTCTCCCGAACATTTTTCCCGTGGGAAAACGATCGGGTACCTTCAGTTGAAACAGCACCAGGATCGTGTCAGTGCAGATCAATTCATTAACTGCTCTTTCAGATGCTGATCCAGAGTCCATCCCCGGGTGAACAGTGTAATCGACTGGATTTAAAGAGCGCCATTCAGTCTGAGAAAGAGCAAGATGGCTGATGGAATGTCCTGCTCCACACTCACCTGACGGACTGGTCGAGGAGCCAGCCGGCGTCGCACTGGTGGAAGCCGCCCTCAAAGGCGGCTTGGAGCTGCTCGGGGCTGGCGATGACGGCGCCGATGCTCTGGCACGCTAGCTGGGCTTCCACAAAGGTGAAGGCGTAGCGACTGGAGCCGGCGCGGTAGTGGAACACAACACCTGCAAAATAAGAATGCACCAATAGTACAGCACCTGCGTCCATCACTCAAACAGCTATTTGCCTTTCAAGTAGAAGGCTAAAATAAGACTAACCGGTGACAGAAGGCACAGACTTAGTGTGATTTTCAGGAGTAATCTTTCCCTCTAGCCCAGGCACAGCAGTCGCTTGACCGATGATCTCCTCTTCAATGTCGGTGATGTTCAGGTAGTCCTCAGTGAAGCTCGGAGGTGGGGACAGGGGCAACTCGGTAACATTGTCACCGGCGCCAACGAGATCCACTGTGACTGTCTCCAATCCCTCCGTGCCCGTGATGTTCACTGGCTCCTGCGTCGCCACCACGCCCATCAGCTCGCTTTCTCTGGTGGCGTTCCTGAGGAAAACCTCAGGGCCTTCGGTGACAGTGGCCATGCTGACAAAGCTACTGCCTGCCTCGGTGGCGGTCTGCAGGTCTGGAAATGTCATAGTCATGGCCGAACCCTCCTCTTCGTCTAGAAAACAAAATGGCCGCATCTTTTAGAGAACCGGGACCATACCATTAGGTACTAGGTCTACCTTTCTGTCCCACATTCACACTTCGGTGGCTGGGTCATTTACCTTCGTAGCAGATTGCGTCATAGCGGGACTCTGGGTTGGGGTAGCCAGTCTGGTTCGGATGGAGGTATACCGTGCGCACCCCAAGAAGTCCCCCTCCACACTGTGGCCTGGCGATGTTAATAGGGTACCGGACACTCCTGTCTGACAGCCAGCCTGCATTGCACACGTCCATGCCTGCCTTCCAGGCTAAGTACAGCTGGCCGGTTGTGGCCAATTGAGCCCCCAGTTTCACACACTGCTCCTCCGCCTCAGTAAAGGTGAATTTATCCGGAGAGAAGGAGTAGAAAACTCTGCCTGGAATTCAATGGGGGGCAACAGGAGAAGGACTGAATGTAGCATGATATGTGTCTGACTTTTGCTGAGCTTGAGAATAGAGCAGAGTTGCGTACCTGACATCTTTTCTGCGAAACAGTACACATCGTAGGTTTCATTGACGTCCCTCACTCCATACGTTCGGACCCCGGGGAATTCATCCTTGTCACCATAGCAACGTTCTCGCGGCTCATGAATAGGGTACCTTTAGGTTATACAAAGACATTGTTAAATGATGCCTTGTCCTGCAATTCTGATTATACCATAAAGTTATATAACTTTTTTTTCTCTTGGGGAAGAGAATAGAACAGAGATACATCCGTTAATGTGGCATAAAATCGCCTGTAAAGTTCACAGTGCATGTCTCTGCAAGTACTGATGTGCTGTGTGTCTGTGTGAGAGCAGTGGATATGATGTCATAAAAAACAGACCCCTGAACAGGAGAACACAGAGACCCCTCAGTGTAACGGCAGGTTTTCAGGAAAGGCAAAGAAAGGGTTTTTGTGTGCAAAGGAAGTGACAGGCTCAGAAGTCACTAGTGCCGTCTTATTTTCAAGTCAGCGTGAAAGAGGTCTGCATTTCGACCCTCGGCGTGGACCAAGGTAAGTGAACCACTGGAAGAGTCGATTAGGCTAATGCAACTTAAAATAACCATAGCAAATATGGTTAGTAGTTTGACCCAACGCAACAATCCGGGACAGTTTGCTATAGTAATTGGTTTAAATGTACCTTAAAAGTACAAAAGCACAACCTTCAACCAGCACAGTTTACCCACCACTTAAGCTGAGTATTACATGCTGGTTTAATATCACTTGGGTAATTTGATCTAAAAGTCTTTTTTGAAGTCACAGGGAAAGGGGTTTTTTGAAGTCACAAGGAAAGGGGTTTTTTTGAAGTCACTGTTTGATGTCTACAAACTGCCAGTGTTACTTGAGAGCGCATGTGGTTTGGATGAAGGTGACTGACCGGACAGTCTGGTCGGACAGCCAGCCAGCGTCACACTGGTGGAAGCCATCGTCGTAGGCGGCTTGGAGCTGCTCTGGGCTGGCGATCACGGCACTGTTCTGGATACAAGCAGCCTTGGCCTTCTCGAAGGTCAGCGTGTAGCGGGTGGAGATGGCGCGGTAGTGGAACACGATTCCTAGGAAAATCATCAGTCAGTTCTTTTAGTGAGTCTTTCAAAATACTACAAATTTAGCCTGGACGTAAAAAGACCGAAGACCATTTCAGGCTCACTTTGTGACTTGGTTCAGGCTTAGCTGGTGAAGCAAAACATCCAGGTGCATACAAACATGTTTCATTATAAATCATTTTAGATAAGACATGCAACAAAAAAACTTTAAATAAACATATTCACAGAACTCAGCTTGGAAGAGCATGGCCCATGTTGTCTTTTTTAATATTTTGTATTCAAAATCAAGATTTTATGGGAGCCAGACTCTGCAGACTTCTTTGGATGTAGATTTAACTGTAAGATCAGCGTCGCCGACTTGAAACATCTCTGGGATTGTTTCACTCCGATGAGGTGGCGACCACTTCAGGTAAATCAATATGAATCCCATCAACTCATGACAAAGACACATCAGGGAACACAGTTCCAGTGTAAGCTTACCCTGCACCTGGATCTCAACATTATCATTGTTGTCCTCAATTCCATGCATGACCTCGCAGCGGTAGGTGCCGGAATCATTCGCGTGTAGCTCCGTGATCTCAATGGAGGCGTCGGTAGGCACTGTGGGGTAGTGGACCATGGTGACTCTGTCTAAATACGTTGACTGAATCTGCACTTTGCCCTCCATGGCCACCAGGATGTCTGTCACTTTGTCCTTGGTCACACGGCTCCACTTGATGCGGTGGGACAGAGGGGTGATGGTGGGTGCGCCGGGATCGTGGACAGTGTTGTCCTGAAAGTAGCATGGCACGACCAGCTTTCCCCCCAGCAGGGGGCGCAGTGGCCGCTCTAGAGGAATGCTCACACTCAGCGGGCTCTCGAAGTCTACAGGGCACAGAAACAAAGAGGGACCCAGTAGTCAAGCCCATATCAACACAGCTATCAGCTGCCACATGCAGTCGCTCAGCGACACCGGCATTCGATCACAAGCAGGATACACAGAAACATCTGGAATACCATGGTTTGTCACTCACCCGTTCCTGACAATTCCTCATAGTATATCGTCGCTGCGATGACACGCAGACACGCACACAGCAAAAACAAGGAGGTCATAGTTTACCTAAAAGTACAACAGGAAAAAGTGTGTCAGTCATTTGCTTGCAACTAAGTATTTGTTAAAAAGTTAGGTGGAAAAAAACAGCCCTGTATAGAATACAGTGGTTACAAGGTCTCGGGTAAATAGCCATAAGCTGCATTTAGCTTATTACTAATCACACCGTATAACACCCCCCGCCCAAGCGCTGCATAGAAGCAAACTACTGAGGAATCTCTGTTTGTGGGGACACAGGTGTTCAAACCGTTACTGTGGCAAGGGACCAATGAGGCAAGAGGACGTTTTAAGAGAGAGTAAACAGCAGGCAGTCAAGGTCAGGCCCAATAGAATTGGTGAAGAGGGCTGGATGAGAGGCTACAGCACACAGGGATTTATTAACACGTAAAACTCGCTGACTGAGGGATTCGGTGAATAAACTTAGATGGCAATTTTATCACTAACTGGACAGACAACACATTTTAAAATAACTGGAAAAAGTGCGGCTGCCATCAATTCTTTTTAGTTACTTTAACTGCCAAAGGTTCAGTTTAGAGCACCTTCTATGCTGTATACAAACAGTTCACATAGAAAACTAAAATAAAACAGCATTCCACTTAAAGGAGACCATTAGTAATCTGGGAAAAGTGAGAGAAAGCAGTTGATCTTTCCACAGCTGCTGTAATAGCTGGAAAAAATGTATGTTCAGGCTGGTGCTTTCCCTGACACACCGTCTGATGCATTTACCATGTAGAGCCACAACAAAGAATTTAAGACAAAACAATGAATGGCGTTCCAGTCAATGGTGATGGCACCGCTGGCTCGAGGAGGCCACCTAGAGGCAGCTTATGTAAGCATTTGTCGCTGATATGAGCAGCTCAACGGACCGACTGTGGTTCAGGTGTCAAGCCAGGGTCTGTCCGTTACTACAAGAGAAACGGGGTCTAATTTAAACAGCGGTCTGCAGAACAAAGATCACCATTGTGGGAGTGAATAAAACGTTATAGAATCCATATCGCTCTCTTCCTGGCAGTGTCAAATGGACAAATTGCTGCTTGACTGTACGGGATTTTTCCACATTTCTAGAGGTTGACGATCCTCTCTGGAGCCCAGCCTTCCACACATGTTGGCTAGGAAATGTTGATGTGCTACCCAGAAAGCTCCAGATTCATTGAACATCCAGCTCCGGTCCACGGTGCCAGTGTTGCCACTGACAACGCCATAACTCACGGCAACTTCTTAATGCATTTATGGCAATTTCATGCATTTATGTTGCCTGGAAGGCAGTAGCGGTAGGGCTGCTCGATTATGGCAAAAATCATACCATGATTATTTAACATGATTCCTCATTGACTTCAGAAATATTATGCATTCATTGAACTCACTGAATTTGTTGAATTCATTTTAACAGTAGATTTCCTTAATCTCTAAATATATAACAGAGAAACAAATAATAAGGTGGCCGGAACGGTGCACTGCATTTATAAAACAAGACAGAAGGGGGAGTCACTGCAAAATGAAGTGCGGCACAATAATCATTTTATCTGAATTATTGCGTTTTGACAGTTACTGGAAATAATTTTTGGAAGCCACAACTGTAATTGAAGTTAATATACAATTAATTGCCCAACCTAAACTAGCAGTCCATCACTATGGAGACCCACCTGGCACGGCTGAAGGTATCTGTCAGTTATAAAGTAACAAACACTGTGCAGAATTACTACCGTCAATCTTTTATTGTACAAATTACCAACCCACATGTAATTGTCTAATGATTATCTTCATAGCTAGTTTTCCAGTGCAGGGTGACAGTGAGTCTACCCCAGGAAACACTGATCCACATTTTTACACATTTATCAGATGGTTTTACCCAAAGCAACGTACAACTGAGAAAGCAGGGTCAGAAATCCCCTGGAGCAACTGGGGTTAAGGGTCCTAACGATGAAATCATCCTGCCAGCGAGTCCTGATCCACAGAGCCACGCTTTGCCGGGAACAGCGTGGATGAAATATCAGACGTTAACCAGGTACATACACACTCTATGGCAACTTTGAGACCCTGATCCACCCTAACAGAGTGTTCTAAGAATTCCTCGAAGAAACCCGCACAAACACATGGAGAACCATAACCGTGACCCACTAACAGCGGGGGCAGGAGTCGAACCCCCAAACAAGAACCAAAGAGGCTGCTGGAGCCTTCAGGGTGACGGGAAGAAGGAAAACATGAGTCACTCCCATTTGTAAGCTGAAGGACCCTCAGCGGCATAAGGAAAAGCTACTTAATGGAAAGAAAATGCACTTGTCATCTAATAAATAAAATCTTCCTATTAGTTACACTGTTAGTTCAGGTAATTGGTAACTCTGAGACGTCAAATCGCCAGAGAAGTGGACCAGCATGGTAAGAGTCAGTAGGCATGAAAGAAGTCGCAGATTTTCATTATGGGGGCCAGACATTTCTTTGGATGCGAACAGAGTCTGCTCAGCTGCAGAGGTTTACAGTCAACTGTGAGGAACGTTCAGATCTGAGAGGCGACACAGTCAACAAGCTGCCGCTATAAAGAGCCCCCCCAGCTCAGAGGCAGCCATCGCAAAAGGAAGGGAGGCAGAGATGGTCGTCATGGGAACTACTGAGGAGGGGACACCTAAATAATCCTAAACACACCAAAGGGAAAAAGTAACAAAACAAACAGACAATGAGGATTCAGTAAGTTCGGTAACATACTGTTACGATATATGTAAAGCTGCAGTGACACGTATCACATACATATGTAAAAAAGAGACAATATGATATTGTTTAAGGCAGTATTTAATATTTTAGCTTGTATATTAATTAGTTATGTATTAGCATGTGTCATTAGCTAAACAGTATATTATTAGGGCGAGCAGATAATCCATGTCAAGAATGACACGTTGAGCTAGGACAGTATGTGTACACTACTAATTCAATTAACAGGACTTGGATTTCACTTTAGCACTGAGTTCTTTCTGTGTGCTGATTGGTCAGTCTCCTATAATCACGCATATGTCACTAATGTTAATGTGAAACAGCTGGATGAGTCTTTCAATCAAGGACAAACAACAATCAAAGGACAACAAACCAATCAAAGCACAAGAAGAACTGAACTATTTAGCCGAGCACAGGAGCCTTTCAGTTGAAAAATAGCTTGTAAAACCTGAAGTAGCTCAAAGTGTCCTGACATGGATTATCTGGTCACCCTAGTACTACAACCCTGATCCTGGAATGCTGGCATCCAGCCGGTTTTCTATCATACCTGATGAGTTACTATCTGCCTGCTGGATACTGACACTCCAGGACCAGCGCTGGCTACCCCTGCCCCAGTATCACTACCCTGTGTACTAGTATTATACAGGACAACCTTCTTCAACACATAATGGCGACACATTTCAGGAATAGAAAACTCAATTTCATATAATGGAATAGGGGCTTTAAAGTTAGAAAACTGGCTGTTCGTCGACTGAGACCCGTTTTCATCCTCTATCAGTCATCACTCACTCGGCTACTGCATAGACCGGCAGAGAGCAGGTGGAGCTGGGACTCTGTGTTAAGCGAACGTGTTAAATGGCTGACCTGCAATCTGCTCTCTGTGTCCTGTGGGGGCCGGGGGGCCCTGCTCATAAGGACGAGGCTGTTTACTGCCTCCCCTGCTCATCTCCTCGCTGCCTTAACAAACCGCCGCTTCATGCCGAACACTGCGGTGTTCAGTCTTTGGTGGGGGGGGGGAGGGGGCGTGTGTGAGCATGGAGCACACACCCACACGCCCACTCACACACAAACTACCTGTTCTCCAGTGGCAACAAGAAGCTGCTCAGAGTGGCTTTTAAAAGTAAACTTCAGGGTTTCCGTTACTGCTCTGGAATTGCGTTCGGTTATTTTAGGGTAACAGTCCTCCCCTTTAAAATATAACATCATAGTGTTTATCTGCTCCTCCTGGGACATCACGCGGCCTCTTTCCACCAGGCGGCCTGCACTAGGCTTTAAAACCTTCTTTATTGGCTGATAGGGTGAGGAAAGCTCTTACGCCACCTTGTGACCATTAGTGGAATGACAAGGTCTTAATCAGAGTAAAGAATCTCGTGGTCGGGGCAAAGTGGACTGAAGAGTAAAACATGTCTTCTTCCTTACATATTTTCCTTGTTAACTATATCACCTGTTAAAAAAAGTATGTAGCTATCTTTGAACCTTGGAAAATGCAATCAACTTTCGGTATCACTTTACTTGAGGGTGCACAAAACCTTAGTAGTAACTTAGTTACTACTGAAGTACAAATCATGAATAAATCATGAACAAATATAGTCACTACTTAAGATGAAAGATGTCATGATTCAATAAAGATGAACAAACGACATCAATGTTTCACACGTTATTCATTAATTGTTCCTTCAGTAGTTCACTAAGATTTACAGAAGTAAGAACTGCTTGAGATAAATGCGTCACGATTTATTAATGATGAATTAATAACATCAGCATGTAACTAAGACTGAGTATGTGGTTAATTAATACATAAGTAATAGCATAATACTACATGATTTGTGTCCCCTCAAAATGCTACCCAACTTTACTGACAGTCATTTCTAAAGGAACCATTATTTAATCGTAAACGTACAAGTTTACTTTAGCCAAAAAAATACATTGTCAGGTTTCTCATTTTGGCGCATGGAAACGTGCACCGCTGCGGAGGTTGATGAATGGAGATCGGCAGGTGTAGCACGAAGCGGCCCAGCGTCGGGCTGGCGATCAGAGTCTCCGGGGAACCAGGCACGCTGCAGGGTAGCACCCCGCCAAATATTTGCACATCTGTCAGAAGCTCAGACACTGACGATAACCTCAGTTTGGGAAGAAGAGCAAACAGTCCGACAAGAAAGGTTCGTGTGGGGCGTCTGGGCAACTCCACAGCCCTCCGGCTGCAGACAGAGCTGCCATTGACTAAGGCGCGGTACCGTAATAAATAATATTCTCAGTTTTCTCCGAGATTTTAAAGGGGCGGACAGTGCAAATCGTTTCCGACGTTGCTTACGCATTTCATTTTTTTTCTCCAAAGAGATTTTTTTCCCCCTTTCATAATTTATATGGCCCTTCATTCTTCATCTTTACTAATAAAAATTACACTGACTTTCTGCCAGACAGCCGGTTTATAGGGGAATAGTCCAAACGTTGGAAGATCGGAAAACGAGTCGATAAACGTTGGTAAAAGTGAACACAGCTTACGTGGCAAACAGTAAACTGCTCTGTTCGCTGGTAATGACGCATGTCTGACTCGGATTTGAACGGGATGTTGAAAACTCTATTTAAACTGACCTCATGATAATTATTAAAATACTACAGATGTTAAGAGTTCAACAGAGACCAACATACAGCTAAAGTAGCTCCTACTTATTTATTACACTCACAAAGTAACTCTGCAGTTAATAATGAGGTTTCATAATACTAAAAACGTCTATAAATCATGAGGTATTAAATTCGGTTATTTGTGGGCAGTTGAGTATCATATTATCAGATTAATTAATTAGAACATGCTACAGATCATTGCTCAGATGTAAATAACCCCGGAAAGACATTCCTTACACCTTCCTCAACTGGAAATCCAAGGTCAGAGGGTGGGAAAGACAGGAATTTAACAGCAGCAGAGCTTTGTTAGGGTTAAGGTTATGCATAGGTTTTAGGGTTAAGGTCATGTGTACAGGTTAGGGCTATCAGGCATGCATCCCCCAGACGGATGGCGTTCCCCAAGAAGGGCCCTCCTTCTCTCTGATTCCATGTGGTTCAGAATGACACATCCTTTGCTCTCAGGACACTTTGTCCGACAGTAATCAAACAATACAAATTAACACCCAGCTCAGTAAGTCCCGTTATGTGGCCGATTGTAAAACTTTAAACTTTAATAAAGCAAAAAAACCTTTTCCTCGGGGCCTTTCTTAAAAAAAATTATTTGAGTCAAATATTTGAAACGTAACACCATTAGCCGTTAGGATAGGGAAGCGTGCCGGGGGGTGAGGGGGGGGGGTTGTGACTTACACTGTCCCCATTCAGCAGGAGGGGAGTGCTTCATTCCCTCTGAGACATAAGTCAGTAAGCGCAGGGCTGTTTCTGAGTCTGTATTATAGGACCTCACTGCACTGAAGGCCAATGTAAACAGTACCAGGCTCCACAGTGAAGGGCCATACCATACCACCGGCACAAGGTGCCAGCCCAACACAGTCCACATTCAGGTGGACATCAGCAGGAGAAGGCCGTCAAAAATCGGACCAAACCACTCGGACACAGATGCTCCTTTCTTCCTCTCTGCTGATATTCAAGATTGTACCACCTTCCCTAAAAGACAGGTGACGATCAAGACGACCCCCCCGAGCTGGTGCTGTGTATCCCGGAGGATGGCGTCAGATGCTCTTTGCTCCGCTGTGAGGAGGTGCTCAGTTTAATACGATGCACATGAACCCATCACCCGATCAGTGGGCGTGGTCACATCAGTTCATTCACATTTTTATTCTGTACTTACATGGACATTTTTCACTAGAAGTTTTTGCCAACTTTGCTTTCATCCTTGTTAAAACACAAGCTTACTTTTGCTTACAATACTTTTAACGAAAGAATGACTCTAACTGACTAAAACAATTACTACCATTGAGACATGACTTAAAAAGTCCTTATACCTCCTGTATAAATTAACTATTGACATGTAGTCCATACTGAAATCAACTCCAGGACCATTTATTGGAATTCCTAATCGCCACAAGTTCTGATTCTGTCTAAAAATCCAGAATTCTGATTCAAACCGACCATCGACCTTGATCTGTTAACTACATGAGCCAAGAAGGCAGTGCTGTAATTAACGCGGAAATGGCTGGATCTCGGCCTGGTCTGTAATTACGGTGGGGCGGTTTTCTCGTTCCATAGGAGTAGTGTGATGAGGAAACAAACAGAGAAGATGCAGGATGCAGCACAACACTCACAGATGTCTTGAAGGCCGCTTGTCTCTCATCTCAAGGTCACACGAGGATGTCACTCTCAGGAGATACTAGGCTTACACACTGGCAGAGACCAGCATCTCCAAACTATTCATAGTACACTCAAGTACAACAAAACATGGTTTACTTGTGTTAGTTTCTAGCTGTTGACTGAATTTGAAATGATCCTGTAGAAACATTTACTTTCATGACAGTTGTGGTGTCTGTAGAATTCACCCTGACTTCAGCTTTATAGAAGCAGTAACCATGGTAACAAGAATCTCAGACATCTGTCAGTTGCTGAAGGACAGCCGTTAAAGCTCACTTAATTTTATGGTTCCTGATCCAGGAGCTCTCTCTCATACTGAAGAAGAATGAAACTCTCTTGGTCGCAGGGGGGAAGATCTCTTTCCACACACCTCATCCTGCTCTTCATAAAACACACACAAGAGCAAGCTCGCATATCACAGCAAAAGGGCAGCCACTTACAGCACCTGTTGAGCTGGAAGTTAAGGGCTTTGCTCGAGGGCCCACAGACATGTAACCACTCCGCCGAGGCCGGGCTCAAACCCACAACCTTCTGATCACAGACACTTAGCCCGCTGAGCCACACACCACAAGACATCCCTCGCCATCTTAAGGCACGGCACTTTACGATGAGGGATCAAACTGGAGAGACCCTACACAAGCACGGACATTCATATGCAGTCAGGGCTGTGTTTCACTTCATGAAAGGAAACTTCTATCGATAAAATGATCTAATACATGTCTTATAGAGACCATGGAAAAGTCTTCTTCATATTTGTGGATTTCAGCCCTGGTGGCTGGGACACATTCGCCATTCCCCATCCTGAACAGATTTCACTACAGTGCTGAGACTCAGCCACCGCCAAAATAGACCAGGATCCACTGAAAACAGCCCCAGGGAACCTCACAGTTTCCCACAGTTCTTGCATGTTTGTAAAGGCGTAATCATCTTTTGCATTGCATCCTGGTTTGGAGACTGTACCCCTAGGCCGAGGCATCCTATGCCTGAAGGGTTAGCCGTCTAGATCTCATACACCTATGTATTCCTGCTTATAAAATACAGCACTTTCAAATATGTTCTATAGACATCTAAGTTATAGTAAGAATTAGTAACAGTTGGTTTGGCTAATTTAACTAATTCAGGACAGTTAGTTTGGCTAATTTAACTAATTCAGGAAAAAATGATAATTTTGGTTATGAATGTTAATTAGTTGTTGATCAGTGAGCATGAATTATTGTTATTAATTAGACAAAAAAATTATCATCCCAGACACACGTCCAAAAAGCGTCTCAAATAGCGGCATATATTAGACAAGGTTCAGAAATCGGCATCACTGGCCTCCCTGATTACAGGCTCTGCATCACTTTGCAGCTTTAAAACCCTAAGTCTGGAAACACAAACCGAGCTTTGTTTTCTAACTATTTTTTCCCTTTCAGTTTAGTTTATACTTTTCCACTGCGGCACAGACGAGTGGGTACAGACGAGTGGTATAAAACGTGTATGTGGTCCAGAAATTACAGGACACGTATAACTACAAACAACTAAAAGCGTACGTGTCAAATAAAACATTCTGGTTACCTGCACTTCTTAGGTGGACTGTGCCCGCAATCCAATTCCCATAAAATACCCTGTGAGGAGCTGTTGAAACTGTTTTCTCGAGGAATCAGAAACTTTCAGGTGCGCTATATGACGCCGGTCTTCTTTTATCTTAGTTATTTTATCCTTGCTCCTGTAATTGCTCAGAAGTGAAGGCTTAGTCTTTAAAGTGCGTGGTACTGCTGTTTCAAGGCGGTGTTAAAATCCTGATGTGCCCCTACGGCTGATGGGCGCAGGTACAGCCTCGCTCCGCTGGCGTGTGTTTCAGGAGCAGAAAGAATCCTTTTTCAAACCAGGGACAACTTTAGCTGTCAGAGAGGGAAGGGTGGAGGAAACCCCAAAAGTGGGAGGGTGGCGGCGCGCTTTATGGTTGCGAACACGCCTCCATATATATATATATATATAGGGGCATTTGTATGTGTAGCGGTGAGTGAGTTATTACACAATTTATATTCTATATTCAAAAAGTACAACATTTAGGATTGCTAGTGAAAACATAAAATGCAGTCGGAGATCCGTATAATTCAACTTCCTAGAATTTTTAGTTTTGTTGGTTTTAATTATTTAATTTTCATGTGATTTTCATAGATTTATCAGTAACAACTAATCTTCCAGTACGGAAGATTTTTCGACAGGTGGCAGTACCTGCTTGGGTTTCGGAGACCTGTTAGCTGACTTGTTTCCTTGCTTGTATTGATCCTTTGTGCTTTGCTTTACGTTTTGTGAGAGTTGCATGAATTGGAAATCATGGATTTAAACGAAAAATTAAGCCCAGATTAAGACTAAAACGGAGTAAAATGTAGACATCGCGGATTGTCAGAGAGCTTAATGGGTCTCATATACGCCCAGCTCTGCGCTCGGTTGCCCAGGATAACCCGATCCCTGCTCCCTGAGAACCAAAACTGCAGGTTTTGGCGACACCAAGTGTGGTGAATGCTATATCAACAGTCATGTTCGCAAAACCAGTAAGTGTTGAAGTTGGGAAAAACACTGGTTAACTGTATTTCTGGTGCAGTGTCATTTTGTGACTTGAATACTGTGGCATGCAGTGATTTTGGTCCCAGCTTGTATCAGTTCCTCTCCAGAAGATGTTGTAAGAATATGCCCATTACATAATAGGAATCACTGTAGTTGCATCACAAACCACCGAGTTTATCACATATCTTGCATCCGCTTCTCTGTGTTGTGTATCTTGTATTTATTATCTGTCTGCGTTATGCTGTAATTGGTGATTATCTATTGCCTTGGTGTCTCAGGGCAGCAGCTTCCTTCGGCCTCGGTCAGGTGCCAATGAAAATTCTGATTCTGAAACAATTTAAAATGTGGGGAAACAGAAAAAGAGTAATTCTATAGTAATTTTATCATAAGCACACACACACACATACACACACAAACACACACACAGGTTTGTAGTTATACCTTTGTGGGGACTCTCCATTCATTTCTATAGGGAAAACTCTAATGCCAACATGACAACCTTAACTACTACCCAGCCCTAACCTTAACCATAAGTAACTGAACAAAATACAAGACTTTTGGCATTTTTAGTTTTCTGATTGCAGTCATAGATTTTTATAAGATTGAGTTTCCCCTTGTGTGAACCGAAAAGGCAGTCCCCACAATGTAATATATACCCCCCCCCCCCCCCCCGCCCCCCCTACACCCAGATTTGATAGGCTGGCCACCATGATGCATCCCTGAAACAACCAAAAGTGAGAGACTGTTTACCTTTGAGCCCCGAGGACACAGGACAGGCCTGTACATCTGAGCTCCCAGCCGCTGGGCCTGGATGAGGGCCGAAGCCCTTCTAGAGTAGAGAGCCTTTATTGTCATACTCCCCACCCTCCCACCTCCCCTCTTACCCCCTTGAGGTGGGACCTGCTTTAGCCTTAAGTGTCTGTGGGGGCCGGTCCATTTCTCCCACCTAAAGGGGTGCTTTTCAGGAATGAAGTTTCGCAGACACACTCTCTGGGTCCCAGTGCTCCCACCTCCCTTTGAAAAGACATTTATAAATATCAGCCATAACTCGAATATATTTTAATTACACTTTAACATTTCAGCCTTAATCGCACTGTGAAGGGCAATTTATCTTTTTAACGTTAATATTAATTTTCAGTCTTTTTCACCAGCAGTTAATTTTTTCCTCTGTACCCTGTTACCTCATTTTTTTTTTTTCAAAATGGCTTCCAGGGTGGGGGTGAGACGTGAAAAAGGCACGTCCCAACCTTTGCCATCCGTTGGCTGCAATTAGCAAGCGGGGGGGAGCTGGCGGGACAGAGAGGTCCTTTCAGTGGACGCCGACGTGGGTCTGCGAGCCAGAGGAGCTCCTCTGTGTGGAAGGAAATAGCGGCATGGCTGATTAAAAACATTATTCACACTAACGTCTGACTTAGCTCTCCTTGGATCCAGCTCTCAAATGTCAGCGTCCAGGCAGCATTTTAAAAAATGCCAACCAGCAATATTTTTTCTCCAGTATAATTTTTTTTTGGACCTCTGAACAACAAATGACTGTAAACCTACTGTAGAGAGAAATAAATGTATACTATACATCTACAAAATCTCCTATAAATGTACTATAGAGGCTGTGTGATTAAAATATAATTAAAGTGACTGAAGTGTAATTAATCTGATAATAATGAGGCACACGTCTGTAGGAATTACCCAGAATTCCATGGAAATACTAACAGACAATTCCTCTGATAATCATTGATTTCTGTTCTTATTAGCCTCTGGGACAACTTAACAGATTTCCTATTAGTTACTTTACACTAAATATAAATCTTAATTTTAAATACAATCACACCTAAAATCATAATATACTGGAATTCATGAATCATTGATATTTTTGTATTTCTCAGTCATGTTTTGTAAGATGTCTTTTAAAAAGATCCTGTATAGGGAGTTTTGACAATGGCTGAGAGATGAATCCGTCTTGAAGAAGACAGGATTGCTACGTCACCTGTATCTGCACACGTGTTTGTAGGTCAAAGAGATGGATTTTCTGCTTTGCACCCATTTCTATGTGATTCCAACCTGAAAGTCTCTTCTTTCCTGCACTGGGTGAAAGTTAGAGCGCCCTCTACCTTGAGGGTGGAAAATGGGGTCATTTTTATAAAGGATCACATATGTCATGGAAATGGATGCCTATGGTCATCTCCAGCTGTACTTAACAACTGGTCTTCTTCATATCTTCTTCATTTTGGAAAAAGTCAACATTTTATTTGTATAAACATTTTAGCGTCGTACGCCTGCTGGGTTTTTGGCAGTTCCCAGCTTTACTGGAATATCTTATTCTATGGCTCCAAGTGTGCAGTGTATCAACGTTAGATTTTAGCACTTCGGCTCTTAGCTATTTGCACACACCCTGAAAGTACAACTAAGTGTTTCATCGGCCAGCATGTAGATTAGTAGTGAAAGAGATGGTATGAAAAACCTGCTGACTACTGAATTCAATCCCAGGTGTGACCCTTGGATGACGATCCTCAGTGTAAATCCAGATGCATGAGTGAGAGAAACTGCAGGTTATTCTGGGAAAGGGTCTCATCTAAGCAACTGTCAACATTGGTAAGAGAGGCCAACTCTCATCTATCTGAGAAGACGTCAGCATTAATTTAGCTCTGCAAATGGTTCTGTTTCTGTCCTTTATCTAAATTTGACCTGAACCGTCTTTTCTCGCCTTCTTTAATTGCGCTGTGTGTCACACTTCCATACCTTTACCTTTGCCGTCTGATTCACCACCACATAGGCGTGTCACTGTTTGAGCAACCCCAACCGCTGCTTGTTTTAGAAAAAAGTGCGTTTTGAAGCGTGCCCTGCACTATATATTACCAATCAAGGGAACGGACACAGGAGTCACTGAGTGAGAGGACAAACTGTTAACTTCAAGGCTGATGTCCAGGGAAGGGCTTGGCTGCTCTGTCTGGTTGGGATTTGAAGACAAACTCGAGCTTACGGCTGAAAAAATCTGGCTTGCCCTCGAGGGGGTTGTCCAGAGTTCAGAGCCTGTTAGCTTGAGCGCTTCATGCTAATAGCCAAAGCTTAAATAAGCCTCAATGGAAGAACGCAGATGAAAAGGATGCTTTCAGTGAGGTAATTCTCCTTTCCCACATTGGTATCATTCAAACACAGACCCTACTCACTCTTAGCCCCAGTGTTTAACGTGGAATTGCAAACTGCTTGCCACTTTTGGTTGCCGGTATCATGTTTTGCCACAGCCACATTGTGCGGGCGAGTTAATGCGCCCTCACGTAACACAATATGGACATCCGGGGAGGGGCCAAGTCAGGTGAGGGGTTCGTTCATTCACAGCACCGGAGCCTGATTTCCCATCATATAAGAAGTGGTTCTGTTTTTCTGCTGGCTCCAGAACCTGCAGCCTGAGCCTATACCTGGTGTAGCCCTTTCCCAGAAACCAGCACCTGTTTCGTTTTCCTGCGCATTTCCTGAAATGATCTTCTCTCATGTTTTGATCCCTCCCACGGTGCTGCTAAATGTTTTTTCCAGTCCTCATCCCAGATAAACTTCTAAATTTCTTCCTCCCGTCCCTGTGTCACCTGGTTCTGTTCTCCGTCCTGACCAGAGCAAATCTTCCATACATCGGCAAAAATATTTTTACACGTTTATTGCAACGGTATGCAAAGTCTTACAATCCTTAAGTAGCACCTCCATTTTTAAAATTGTGCAATCATCTGCTTCACATCATCTGTGGCCAGGCAAAGAGAAGCCTGTTCAGACACTTTCACGGAATACAAAGGGACGGAGGAAATAGCACGTCTGCAAGCTTTTCGGTGTTGAGCTGACGATCTAGCCTGGAATCCGGAGAATATTATTTTAAAAGCTTTTTAATAGGCCGTAGGTCAGCAAATGGCCTAAAAAAAGGCCAGCTGTCTGGTTTTGGGACACCAGTGGTAAGTTTACACAGGCTGATGGCGTGTTGGTTTGCTGGTAATGTGACAACTGACCAATGAAACTGATCACTCAGAACCATGCGTGCTTGTATCTGCCGTCTAAGGTCGAGATGCATCATGGGCCATGACCTCCGTGACACTGATGGGATGCCGGTGAGTCCCCCTCCATGCCTTTTTATGCCCACGAACAGCATCCCTCCTCCGCCTGCTCTCCATCGCTCCCTTTATCGTGTCCATCCACCTGCTGCAGCAGAAGATGTAGGAGCCCTCTGGCTGACGCTTAACTTAATGACACGTGCAAACCTCTCTGGGAAGCTTGAGAAAACTTTTGGAACGGCTTGGGAAATGTATTAGGTGCAGTATTTGTTT